TCTGTGTTTTCTAAGGTATAAAATAGAGATAAAAATAGTCACTATGTGCCAGGGACATCTCAGTGTGGTACTTGCCTTGGAAGAGTGGAGACCCAAATCTTAATTCCCTAGAACCACCGACTGTAAACATCTAGGTATGATGGCACGTGCCTGTAATTCCAGTGTTGGGAGATGGAGATAGATTCTGGAAAGCTCAGGGGCCAGCTTTCCCTGCAAGTGATGGTGGAGTCCCAGGCCAGCAAGAGACACTGTCTCTAACAAATAGGTGGGGGGTACCTGGGGATGGACACCAGAGGTTGTCCTCTGACGTCTACATGTGGTATGCATGTACGTGCCAGTACACACATATACATACACACGCACAGCACGTACATGGCTGTACACACACACACACACACACACACACACGCATACACAGTGAAAAATATAATCACCTCATTAAAGGGATTTTGTGTTATTAAGTGGTACCAGAGGTGATGATGACAGCGATAGGATGGGACCAACTTATATTCATTTTAAAGATGGTTGAATTGAGTCTCAAACTGTCCAAAGTAACATAACTAGTAAAGAGTGGGGTCAGATAAGAACCCCAGCGTTTCCGAGGCAGGAACCTTTCCCGCTGTAATTAGTCTGTGTTTGTTGTGAGCTGACAAACAAGCTGTCTCTGTTACAGGGGTAGTATCACCCAAGTGGGTTCTCGGGTTTTCTCCTCAGTGTGAAGCTGGAAAGCAATGTAATAAGATTATGTAAATATTAGTTCAGGGTTCTGGGAAAACCAGCAGGGCTTCAGGGTAAGCCGTCTCCCAGCAAGCAAAGGCTTGCCTGCTAATTCTCTGGCCTTCTAAGACTGATCAGGTTGCCCAGTGTGGAGGCAACGCCAGTTTCCTTCTGTTTGGAGGCAGAGTGGCTGTCCACTCCCCCTGAGGCTGGGGGAGAGCACATTCCTTGGGCATGGCTAGAGGGTCTCAGGAGAGGGGCCCCTGGGTCAGCCTAAACTGGTTCCCGTCTGTCCTTCCCAGAAGTGTGACCTTGGGAAAGTCACCTAATTTTTCTCAGCTTCAGTGTTCTCATTCTTAAAATGTGGGATTATGATGGTACTTTCTGGAGCCCTTCTGAGGATTAGGTGGTAAGTTAATAAAACAGTGTCCAAACCAGTACACAGTGGGTACTTGACCAAAAAAAAAAATACAACTGGGTAAAGGGGGGCTTGGTGGCCTGGATGCTGTAAGCGTGATGCTTCTTTCCTGACACATGTTGACCACCCAAAGAGATGGTTGCTCAGCCAGGACTAACCAGCAGTCAGGGTTTCTGATTCAGCAGGGAGTTCTTCCTTTCCACACAGCTCTCAGTATATTATCCACAGACACTCATCAATGCGGGCGTTCATGGTGCCTGCCGAGCCCCCTTACCTTCTCCCCGTGCCAGCAGCGCTGGGAGTGAGGCGTGCTCTCAGTCCAAATGCTCAGAGACGGTCCCGGGGCTAAGGATGCATGCAGGCTGTTAGAGAAGATCAGGTTGGAGAATGTCTGTTTGACACGTGCCTGGGTTGGCCAACTTTTCTAGTTTGACTGGGAGTGAAGGGGTTTCCTGGGACAGTCAGTGTTAAAATGGGGGTGTAAAAACCCAAACAAAGGCGGTCCTGTAAAATCCCGGTGGTCCTGTAGTTCCCATGCCACTACAAGACTATATGCAAGCCAGTATCTCAGCCATGAGGCTGGAATCGCAGAAAGCTAATGAATGGGCTGGATCCAGCTGTCAAAGCCACTCTTTAGTGTGATTTTATGGATTTTTGAGCTCATCTTGCTTGATTCTAAAAAAGATACCCCCCAGCCAAGGCTCAAGTTTTATTCCTCCTCCTAGTGAACTGGGAAAAAAATGGATTAGCGAAAGTCAGTTATTTGCCAGGGGAACCCCTACCTTATCATGACTGCACCCCTCCCTCATCATGACCACACCCCTCACTCACCATGACCACACCCCTCCTTCACCATGACTGCACCCCTCCCTCACCATGACTGCACCCCTCCCTCACCATGACCACACCCCTCCTTCACTATGACCACACCCCTCCTTCACCATGACTGCACCCCTCCCTCACCATGATTGCACCCCTCCCTCACCATGACCACATCATCATGAGATCTAAGATTAGATTTCCTGAGGTTTTCTGCCCTGGTAGTTCTAGAAACTTTTGAAGATCCACAGACCAAGGAGACCAAGGACCCATAAAAAATGTTTTATGATATTTTTGGCGTTGATAGGAAAAGTCCATTGACATTGGACTTCACTGTTGATGGAAAAGAGTCCACAGCCAGTGGAACTTGCCTGTCTCTAGCAGCTTGTTGGAGTGGCTCCGTCCTCTTCATTCCTTGTATGGTTCTTTTTCTTCTTATTCATTTTAAACCAGCTGTATGTCCGTGTAAATGCACATGTGGAGGTCAGAGGTCAACTTCAAGTGTTTTCCTCTGGTTCTAAACCTGATTATTTTGACACAGAGTCTCCCAATGGACTTGGACATCACCAACTGACTAGGCTGGCTGGCCCAAGGATCTTTCTGTCTCCACCTCCCCAGGATTAGGGTTATAGGCATATACCACCATGCCTGACTTTTAAGTGGGGCTCTGAGCCAAAGTCCTCCTGCTTGTGGGCAGGCATGTTCCTCTTGATTTTCACTGTGAGGGGATTGGTGCAGAACTTAGCTGTTCTCGCTTGCAGCAGGGTTGTGCTCCTAACAGAAGTTTTCAGATGCACTGACGGTGCAGATTTGGTTCTCTTTGTAGCCAAGTTCCTTATTTCGCTTTTACTATACATCCACCTACACAATATGTGCATATATATATATATATATATATATATATATATATATATTTGGTTTTCTGAATTTCAGAGATATTTGCCTCCAACCTTAAGTCAGGACTCTTAACAAACTTCCCTGGGTCAATGTTATGAAAGAAGTTAACTCTCAAAATATCATTATTTGATATATAGGCTGTCCAGAGCAGGAGACTGACTAATCGCAAATCCTGAACTAACATGTGGTTACTGAGAGTTGGGGAGGGGAGAGGAGAGAAAAATCAGGGACATGTCCCAACACCAGCAGGGAGATTTCATCTGGGTTTCCCCCAAATATGAAATTATTCAGAAATAATTCCAGAGGCCTCTTTCCTGCCATCCTACCAGCGAGCAGGTGCAAATGTTTTGAATGACCTGAATGGATAACTTATTTATGCAAATGAGTATTTTGCATAGTCCCCGTAGATGTGCCTGTCTACTCTCTGAGGTCACTGTCGGGAGGGTTAGAGATGTATTTGGTTCAAGGGCATGGACAGTCACAGTTTTATCTGGAAGACGTTCTTAGGAATGGCCATCTGGGTGGTCACTCTGAGACACCCTAGGCCGCTTTGGAAGAGTGATGGCCACTGATGGTGACCCTCTTTCCCTGTTAGGCTCCTTTGCTGCTCCCCATCTTTGCTGCTCTCACATCACAGCCCCCCTCCCTGCCATTCCTCAATTCTTGACCCAGAGACTCAGTTGGCACTTAGCATGTCCAGTGCCCAGAAGCCTGGTGAGCAGCAGGGTGACCTTTGTGTCAAAAGACCCTCAAGACTTTCAGGGCAAGACAGAATCACTACTCTTGCAGTGGGGTTTCCCCTCAATTTTTGTTTTGAACGTTTAGCTTTTTCGGTATTTGATCTTAAGCTATAGGAGCTGTCTTCATACATTAGACGTTTTCATTTTGGCTTCCCAGTTTCATTTTGATCTCCTGTTTATTCGTTTATTTTTAATTTTTTGAGACAAGGTCTTACTCTGTAACCTGGGCTGGGCTGGAATTCAGCTCGTATGATGTGATCATCCTTTAATTGGTTTTATATTTAAGGTTCCATGATAGTAGGAAGGGCAGTCTTATGCAGAATGTAGCATGTGAAAACAACTGCTCATTGTACGACCTGGTGACTGTAGTTAAAAACAAAGCATTGTGTGCTTGAAAGCTGCTGAGAACAGATTACAAGTGTTCTCACTGTCCAAAAATGTTAAGTATGTGTAGTAACACATATGTTAATTAGTTTGATCTATTCATCCCTCAAGATATACATGATCAGAACATCATGTTGTAAAGTTTAGATATATATATTATACAATTTTAATTTGTCAATTATAAAAAGAGGAGCACAGAAGGTAGAAGAAGCCTGCTATAATTATGAGAAGCGTTTCCCTGCATAGAAAAGAAAACACTGGCCACAGGAAATTCGTCTGGCAGAGGCTAGCTTTTGCTTGGTCTTCTGGCCTTTTTCTGAGACTCAGAATTGAACCAGAGAAGCTCAAAGTAGTTTGATTCAAGAACCGGGGTAAGGTTTTCACTCACGTGTGTGTGAAGCTCTTCATGAGGAAACATATAGCAAGGGAGAATTCAGCAAGATCATGAGCTACAGAGGAGACAAAGCAGGGCACACTATACCAGGCAAAGCGGAGGGGCCCTGAGTAACATTTTCGGGTGGGTGTTTTTCTTTGGTGCTCAAGTAGGGCTGGGGACATATTTAAACGATGGAGAAAGTCTCTCTCTCTCCCTCTCTCTCTCTCTTCCTTCCCTCCCTCTCTCTCTGTGGGTGTGTGACTCCCAGTGTGTCTGTTTCTCTCTTACCACAGCGAGCTCTTTTCAGTACCACTGGGCCTCCCCCCCCACTCCACAGTGAGGCTGTTTCTCGCCTTGGCATTTCAGAGGGTCTGCTCAGCCTGTGGGTGCCCAGATGTGATGAGAATAGCTACAGAGTGTTCTGTGCAAATGTTAGGACAACTGTCAACCTGTGACCTCCCTGAGAAACTGAAATGCCACTTTCATGGCCCATGAGCTATCTCAGAGTACAGGAAGATACCCTAATGTTCAAAATTAAGGAGAATGGTAAGAGGCAATATGCACAGGAACCCTAGTTCCTTATTTAACTATAGCCAGGGTAACCAGTGATTGACTTTCTGTACCCTGTGAGTTTTACTGAACCAGAGAGAGAGAGAGAGAGAGAAACTCTTGTTCCTGTTCAGCTTGTATTAATATTTTTGTTGTGTCTCTTATTACACAGCTGTCCCATTCTGCCCTGGGGTAGATCTATATCATCAGCAGAGAATCAGAGACTGAAACATACACAAACACACATTTGCTTTCAAAGATAAATATAGGCTTCTAGTTAGGAACAGAAGTGTAAAGCAAGTGAGCATCTGTGTGTGCAAAGTAAGGACATCCTGCTGCCATTGGCCTGTAATGACATCAGGGCTTTGTCTGAGACTTGGACCCCTTAGGGCTTGATAATCTCAGAGAGACTCTTTGTCTTGGCCTCCATTTAGCAGTTAGGTCCCTTTGCTTCCTTGATTTTGTGATAGGGATCTTTTAGCAGACAAACCAACTAACTCAGGAACTCCAAGCCACTGCAAATAATCCTGTCTGCCCTGCCTGCACCATTTGCGTGTGTGTGATGTGTATGTGTGTTTACACTTGAGCGCATGTGCACAGAGAGCCAGAGACTGACATTTTCTTCAGTCACTCTCTGCCTTGTTTTGAGACAGGGACTCTCAGTGATTCTGCAGGACTAGCTGGCCAGCAAGCCCTAGGGAACTCTTCTCATGGCATCTCTGGGGCTAGGATTGCAGGTGCACACTGCCATGCTGGGCTTTCTACCTGGATGTTGGGGATCCAAACAAAGGTTCTCATGCATGTACAGTAGGCACCTTACTAACTGAGACACCCCCATCAGGACTTGACTCAGGTTCCATGCCTTTGCAAAAGCTTGACCTGTGAAGAGACAAGGCAGGTTTCAGAAGATTTGTGTTTCTAGACTGTATTCCAGTTTCTGGAATCATCTTGATTTTACCTCACCTCATTACTCTATGTCCTTCTTCTGTCTCCCAGAGAGTCTTAGAAACAGGATGAATGGTGGAAGTCTGGTGATAACGACAGTCTTCTGCATCCCTTTCAGGAGCATACTCTGTATCGGTGTAAAGTATCTACTGTTTGATGTTTCCATAGTTACTATTTAAAACTCATTATGGGGTTTACTCCATCTATCCACATCTATCTATCTATCTATCTATCTATCTATCTATCTATCTATCTATCATCTATCAATCAATTATCTATCTCTCTACCTACCAGCACTATCTTGTTAAAACTGAGCATCAGGTAAATGGTCTCATCTGGAAAAGTTTTTCCATTGATGCATGCCTAAGAATCAATCTCTCTCCTGAGAGGGAGGTACTGTTTTGGCTGTTCTTCTTCTAGAAGGGTCAGCTCAGTCTCAAGTAAAGGAAACAATCAATACTCGAGAGGACCTGCTAATTATCAGACACTTTGTTAGGCACCTCATACATATGAACATGAACCTCCATAGTGGCCGTGGCTATAAGGTGACACCTTTTTATCTCCTCCCACCTCCACCAATGCCCCATCGACTCTTCTCAGGAGTGTCCATCCAGCAGGTTAGAGTAAGAGTGGAAAACAGAGTAGAGATAGAAGCAGACTGTCTCCTCTTGAATTCAAGCGCCTACAACTTAGGGTGGCTAGGCCTGGGCTAGGATCCACATTGTTTTAGGTGCTTGCATTCGGTGTTCATACCTCAGGAATACTCAGCTCCTACCCCTTTACCATGCCAGGCTGCCTCAGGTCAAGGTTTGGCACAAGTGAGGAGTAGGCTAAGGCTGCTTGCTCTAGAGTCTTTTCCTCCCCTGCTACCACCCACCCCGCGGTGGGTGGAGCTAGAGGAGCTGGGCTGCTCCTGATTCGTCTCTCCAAGAAGACTCTAGCCGGCTGTTCCCTGGGGCCTCTTTCTCAGATCTGGAGCCGATAAACTAATTGGGGCTAATGTGATAATAGGCAATGATGACATTTACTGTTTTTATCAGGCCCAGGGCACACATTTGCCTGTTAACAGGGCCTTTGGCAGGTAGACACGGCTGAACTGGAGGGGAGGTGGGTTTATTTGCTGGAGGTTAGAGAAGCAGAAGGGCTTTACAGACCTGCCCCGAACTGTACCCCAACACCTCCTTTAAAGATCCACCTCCTTCCAAGACCCCCCTCCCCAAACCCACCACTGCCCCACTACCGTCTTTTGGACTTGAAAGTTCTTGAAATTCAAGTCACTTAAACCAAACAAAACAAGAGAGCACTGCGTGGGCTGGCTCCCCATCCCTGTTAGCAACTATTTGGCTGTCTGTTCCTTTCTCAAGCCTTAGCTTCTATATTTCATTTTCACAGATGGAAATTCTGGGTTGTGACCACAAACATCTATCTACCTTTGCCGAAACTCCCTCCTGTCTCCCGACAAAGAGGGAGAAGTTCAAGAGACCTGTCTGGATGCTTTGTTCATAGAAGGCTGGTGTCCAGGAAGACCCAAGGGGGAAAGTTAATGGTTAGGAGACTGTATTTTTCCTGGCCAGGGCACTCGCTCACCTGTGCAGGTGGAGAAACATTTGGGACCCAGTGAAGCAAGAATAGGAAACTCCCTGCATAGCCTTGACTCAGGGGGATGGGGCTCTGGGAAATCCGAAGATCTCCTTAGCAGTCCATGTCTTGTTCAGACTCTGTTGGCGTTTTGGTTTTCTTTTCTGGATCCTACAGAAAGGGTTGATAAACAGTACCAAAAAAAAAAAAAAGCATCTCAGAAGTGAAGTGAAGATGATCTTGTCAACCAGTCCCTGCCTTGTCAATGATTGTTACCCTTAGGCATCTCATAGTGGACCCTTCTCTAGGGCCACCCCCTTATAACCTTTCTCCAAGGTGCTTACCTGGGGCTGGGGAAAAAGCCTGTTCAAAGTCCTCTAAAACTGTCAAGAGTCACTACCAAGAGCCAGTCATGGTGCCCCGAGAGAGAATGGGCTAGACGCTCCTTCCACGCTTGGTACCTGCACAGCCAGAGCAAAGGTCTTGATGCCAAAGCAGAGAGGACTAAATGCAGGTTAGAAAATGAGACAAATCTTCAAGAGCACCTCCCAGCCCTCTTCCTTCCTTCATCTGCCAGCCAGGGACTTGAGTTTTTATCCCCCCCCCCTTCCCGAGCGTCTTTGGGAAGTGAGGCATTTTTTACCTGAAACTGCCTCTAAGCTGAAAGGCACGGTCACCACCAAATCAATTCCTCATCCATTAACAGGTTGTCTCTGTTCTTGAGACACAGGCATAACCTGGTTAGACCTGTTTTGTTTGAACACTAACGTGTGAGTTGGCCAAATGCAAATGAGCCAATGTTTGTAATCCTTTATTTTATTTTTTTAAAGGGCTGGGCAGCCAATCAGAGGAGGGGGAAGTGACTTAGGGAATTCCCGGTTGGTGGCTTATTGCTTAACATCCTACAAAATGATTTTAAATTATTGTCATATGCATTTATCTTCACTCTGATGAGAGCTGAGACGTGATAAGGCCGTGGCTCCCCATCCCGGTAGGAGCTGGTGCCGTAGCTGCCTGCCTTCTCCTCCATCCATAGAGCCATAGGACTGCCCATCCGGAATCTTCAGGTAAATGAGGTAAGTCCTCACCTTTAAATCTTCTTTGGAACCTGAAATTCATACACCTGTGTGGAAAGAGAAGCCTGTCTTGACTCAGACAGGTGAAAAGAAACCAGAGGCTCCGGGACGCAGCTGGCAGGAAGTGAAGCTTGTGTTACCTGGCCTCACCTACTGAGTCTTGTTCGAGTTTATTTGGGTGAGAGCCTCTGGGCTGCGTGAGTGTTATCTGTAAATTTTTTTTTACATTGTCTGAATTTCCAGTCAGCAAAATTCTAAAAGCCCCCTGGCTTCTCTCTGCCCATGTGGTGTAATAAAGCCATATCCCTGGGTTAGAGTTTTGTGGAACGAAAAGCAGCCCGAGACAGGTGACTCTGATGTTGCTCAGTAACAAGCTGGTTGGCTAAAGGCTGCCAGGGATCAGGGATCATAGACTCACAGTCTACAGGTGTCTTTGCTGATTTTTTTTTTCCTGACTTACAAGCACTAAGGAAAAGCCAATTCACCTCCACTGTATTCCAGTTGGGGAAAATGGCTGTAGATAGGTAAGGTAACCTATATTCACAAAGGGAGCAGGGACCAGGTGGCTAAGGCGGGAAGACTGTAGCTGTAAAAATGATCCCCTGTAGAAAGAGGACTCAAGTTAGGTAAATGATTTTTCCATATCACAAGGGGACAGACTAACCCTTTGTTTCCCACAATGGGATACTATGACCAGACAGACAGTCATGACTCACCAGCAGCAAATGCCTTCGATATAGGGACTCTGTCCTTTTGTTTATACAGCATGAACAAGTGTTGGCCCCAGTGCGGATCGAGGAGAGAAAAGTGGGGGAATGAATCTTGATGGCTCGTAAGAGCACCAAGGTGGCAAGGTCACTTTTATTTTTATTTTTTATTATGTTTTAAAGTCTGCTTTGGGACACTCTGAGCGTTGCTGTGGGGTGGTGCGTGAAGTGTAAGCTGAAGTGTAAGGTTCTCTGGGTTTGAGTCCTCAGGTGCCTCTGCCTTTCCCTGTGCTGACCTCAGGGGGAGCGGGGGAGTTCGGAATCTGAGATGTCTTGTAGAAGCAGCAGTCGGTTCTGTGGGCATTGGTGTGAGGATGTATCAAGACCGTATCTTTCAATGTCTAAGGGGAAGTTAGGACCATGAACCGCTGTGTGCCACTTCCCCTGAGGTCCAGAGAACAGTCAGTCTCTAACAGAAGAGATTCAGATGCGTTATGAGAAGAATTTCACAGTTGAGAGTGGGATTGGAATATGGAGCCGTGTGGACTGGTTACTGCTGCATCAATGGGCCGTGGTATTTAAAAACTGTAATGGAAGAGAGGAGAGTTATTTGGAAGTTTGTAACCACATTTAAACACTGCGGAATATCATGAATACCATGTTTCTAGATTGTTGGGCAGAGATTCTGAAAGAGAGTGATCTTGAGGATGCTACTATGTTGCAAGTTAGAGGACCACTCGAGACATAATTATTCAGGGCCACATAATTATTCAGGGCCTCTCGCTATAGTTGTGGGTAGGACGTGTGTTGGACCTAGGCTTCATTTATGAAAAGGTCTCAGATTTGATAACATTGTTTTGGTGTGTGTGCTAAAAAAATTATATTACCTATATCCATACAAGCTTCCTGATATTTTTATTATTAAATTATTATACCATGATTTCTCATGGGAGTGCCTTGGGCCTTTCTAAACCTCTGGTGAGCTCCAATCACACTCACAATTCCATATTTGTGGGTCCCGTAAGGGTTTCCCCTTCATCCTCTTTCAGTACCTTTTTGACTCCATTGAAGGCCCGAGACAAAAATGGAAGCTGAGAGCTCAGCTCTGTTCTCAGTGGTATTCTGTTAGCTAGCTGGGATCAGGTCAGAAGGTGAGTGCTTCCGGGCCATGTTCTGCTCTAAGGAAGTGGACTGCACTTTCTGCAGTCTACTCGGTTTTATTTCCTTCTTATTGTCGGTGCTCTCTGGGGGACTTGAGAGCTGGGCTGTGTTCACTGGACTTTCTTGCATTATTTTTTTTTAAACCTAAGTATGAAAATCTTGCTTTGCATTGCACCGTCACACACAGTTGGGGGAGTGTACTCTGTCTCCTCTCCTTCTGGATGGTGGCATCCCTAGGGCTTTTCCAACAGATACGACCTTTGAAGGCTTCTGGGAGGTGAGGTGGAGAGGGTACCAAAACACCGAAACTGAGTCTGCCAACTCACAGCACTATGGTTTGAAGGAACTAAACATAAACTCAAAACCTCCATTTCAGTACCACCACTTCGCTGGTGTTTTAAGCCATTTCTCCTGTTCAACTGCCTCTCCTCTTCCACGGAGGTGAAGCAGCAGGCTTTTCTGTCGTGGGTGGGGCCCCGGTTGGGGAGCATTGGCTTGATGTTTCAAGACCACACAACCTGACTCTGCCTTTGTTACTGTTTAACCGAGCACAGAACAGTGGCTTTCAGAGTGGGTAAGCTAATTCTGTCCTGGGGTCCTCAGAGCAGTGAGCGCTGCCCAACTTTTCTTAATTCGATTCCTAACAGCTGGTGGGAGAAGGTGGGTAATTCATTTTATCTGACATTTTCATACCTGCTTATAAAATGGTTTTAAGTGATATAATTTGCTCTGAGTAGCAGTCATTTTTTTTTATCTTATCTCAGGATGGGATGTATTTTCTAGCCAAATGCCATCATGGTGAGGAAGCCAAGATGCTCTTGAGTAGACGTTTCTGTCAGTCCTTCGGAGTTAGTTGACGAAAACTTTACTGCCTTTTAGATGGGAGCAAAGATTATGTCTTAAGGCTCGTCCTGGACAGCTGGCTGGCGCTATCTTTGGAGTGATGGGGCACAGGGCAGGGAAGGCAGTTGGTGGGACAGTGCTAAGCATGACTGTAAGGAAACCTGGCAAGTCTGAGTGGCCCAGAGAGGACACTCTACCTCTCTGGGTTTTAGTTTCCTCTTTTATACATACTGAATACCTTTAAGGCATATTTGAACTCACAGATTCTGCCGGCTATGGTGGCCAAAGGTAGGTGGAACATTAGTGCTCAGTGTCAGCAGGATTGAGTCTGTGAGAATAAAGAGAGGGGTGACAGATGCCCCCGAGGCAGAAAGACTACTGGGGGGCCCTTCAGTATCTCTGTTAGGATCTTCAGAACTTTGACTAAGAATAGACTATTGAGGAATGAACCTGGCAGCCTTCATTGGCGGTGTGGGGAGGGGGTGTCTCAGCCGCTTATGGCACATGGTACCCCATCTTAATCGATAGACTCAGAGCAGGAGAGATAGTGACTTGTGATAATGGGGAGCCCGTGATGTACTAACAGCACTTGAGGAAGAACCGAGCTACTTCTGGATCAGCCGAAGGTGAGACTTCCTATGCTGGCATCCACTTGGCCTGAGCTGCACTGATTTGTCTGTGGTGACTGGGTAGATGAGAAAGGTGTGGACCCTGTCCTAGAGGAAGATTCGATGGTCATCATGTGGGCAATAGGGCTAGTTGGGTCAGCCAGGAGCCTGTGCTGTTTCCAGATGGCTCAGCTCTGTATCTGCAGCAGACAGAGCTCACGGGAGGGTCAAGCACGGTGTCCCACTTAAAGAGGCTCCTAGGGTATTAATTGACTTGGTTTAAGAGACACCCTGTAAAATGCTCCTTTGAAAATGATTTCACTAGCACCTAACCACATTGTTCTTTGGTTTGCTGTGCGGGGCTGGGCTTCCCATCACCGGGCCACTGGCCTCACTTGTATCTCCTCTCTGGCTCTCTCTCTTGCTTCTCAGCATTAGAACAATTGTTAAGGGTTTCTGGCCACTCATTTAAATTATGGTGTGTATAGGTCTACCCAAAACATGATTTCTGATGACACAAGCCTAAAATTAAAAAGGGGCAAAGAGCCAAACAGATAATTGTGTACCTGTTAAGAGAACCGAGTATTCCATTAACCCAACTATTTCACTATAAAAACTTATCTCAAATAACCTTGTCTAGATGCATGCTTTCTTTGATGTAGCCGTGGTGAAGTCAAGGTGGCCTGCCTGTCCGCTGCTTCTTGCTCTTCTTGTATCACAGACTCACGAAAAACAGTCTTTGGGGCTGGGACCGTATGCCAGGTACGAATGTGAGAAACTTCAGTCACTATTAACCCGTCCCCACCTGATACCAGCTGAACTCAGATGAGCTTCTCTCAGAATAGAGAGGAAGTTCTTGTTGAGCTTGCTGTGATGGCAGAGTCTTGTGAACATGACCATCATAGGGAGTTTGCCCCGGAATCTCTTAGGAGACCTTTAGCAAGCTTCCCTCAGAAGGGCTGCTGTTACAGTCCTGAGGAGGTGTGTGTGGGGGGGGGGGGGCTATTACCAGTTCTGCCTTCCACAGACTCTGAGCTGACTTGTTTTGGCTTTGTGTGGGCTGTAGATTTGGCCTGAAATTTAGCCTCTGCCTAGCTTTGTTCATTTTAAGAAATTAAAGGGCAGCTGGTTGCGATTCTGCCCTCTTCCCTCCACTGGCCAGAGGGTGTTTGGAGGATCACAAAGAAAGAGTAGATTTTGACTGCTTGTGTCTGAAGGGGCAGGCAGCGTTGAGTTCTCATGGCTGGGAAGGGGCTTTGCTGGGATGTGGTAAGCCGGACACTGGAGGAGTCCTGGGTACCCGGCTTTGAACTGGACACTGCCACTGAATAGTTGAGTGCTTTGGGGCGAATTCGATAAACTTTAGCATCCATGTCTCTTCATCTG